GCCATCTGGCGGAAAATCACCCGGCTTTTTCAAATCACGCGAGAATGTATACAAAACAACAAAAATGGGTCGTTTTCATCGAATGTCGGTGATTTTAAAGTAATTTTGAGTGATAAATAATTTGTTTTTTGCCATCATTGCACTTGCCCGGCGGGCAAATGCAATGAAATTTGTACTCTCCGAACAATAAAAACTACTTGCCCCGGGAGCCCCTGCTAAAATTGTTTAATTTACATCCTTGCTATCTATTTTGTGAAGTGCATGAGTCCTTCCTGTTCCAACAGCTATGTTATTAAGTCCTCTTATAATACATAATAAAACACAGTCATTAGCTGCTCATTTCAGTCAGATCAATAGACATAAAGGACCAACTTTAGGAGCTTGATGTAAATACCAAAACTTCCATGAGATGACATGCTGTTTGTTTACATTAGCATGTTTCAATAAGAATCAATCGATTGAATAATAATAAAGTCTTTATACACTAAATTGGATATGCCTCCAATTAACACAGCTGCTCTAAATTAACCTATCAGAACCTTGTTAATCCAGGAATTTATCATAATTATTCTTAGTGTATGTATTCCCTCTCTTATCTAATCCTGACTAATCTAAAGCAAGTTTAACTAGAGTGCACAGCCTACTGCCCCTTATTGTGACCGACAAATATTAGTCACGCATAATCTGGCGTATTACTCAAATTTAAAGAATTGCTTCTTTGCATCTGGTAAAAATCATAAAAAATGCTTTCATATTTAATTGCACAGCATGTCTCTGCAGCCTCTGGTGTCTGTTCTGCTCTCAAACTGCACTCTGCTTTCTTGTTTGATCACAAAATCAAGACTTTGAGTGAGGCATGGCTACCCTTTCTGTTTATTTTTTTTTTGTAATTTATGTCTTTATTATAATAGGTTCCTATGCTTTAGTTGTCAATTTTCACTGCTGTTTATGGGGGAACTGCTTTTTCTGCCAAATAATATTAAAGAATCCTTTCAAAAATTGCTGTATCTGGATTATGATCTGGATCAACACCAGAATTTAAGGTATTATTCCTTGGACTGGGTTATGCCTCTGTTAAATATCTAATTAAAATCCGTAACTTTTCAAGTAAACCATAATCTCCTTGGGGAGGTAATACAGTAGTTGACTATTTATCTTCTGTATAGGTTTATATGTATGCGATCACCTAGCTCAACTTAAAGCAGGTAAACTGTTTTTGTAGCTTTTTATAACTTATATAAACCCATTAAACACGAAAAGAGATGAAATAAAAAGCGTTTTCCTCGATTCTGCTTTAGTGGGTCTTCCTGGAAAGATTAGGTGTGTCCTGCAGCTGAAGAGGCAGACAGCCTGTAGGACAGACGGAAAAGGAAAGGAAGGAAGGAGGGAGCGGCAGCAGAGCGGTGACTGAGGCTGACTCAGCCCAGAGCGCTCACACACCCCCCCTCCCCACCCCCCGTGTATGCCAGGTCTTCTTACAGTTGACTCCCCCTCAGCAGGTTGCGTGCAGGCAGACCGAGGGTACCCCTGTAGCCCGCTCTCACATCATTCAATCTTGTTCCCATGGTAACAGGCTTGTCTCGCTGCAGGCGTGCAAGCCCATCAGGAAAGCTGTACCTCGCAGAAACTGGAGAGCAGTCATTAAAGGCTGATAAGAGATTTCGGTGCCTCCCCTTCAACCCTTCGGCTTTAGAGACAATTTTTGTTGAGTGAAGTGAAAATTTGATCTGATATAAAAGCAAACAGATTAATATTTAATTTGGACATTTTGCCTTTTAAATACCATCAAACAATTCAGTTGATGCTTGTATTTCTTTAACTGTATTCAACCATCGATAAAATCTACACCCATTTATAAATGTCTCTGTTCTCATCTCCCTAAGATGCCATAATTTCAACGTTAAAAAAAATTATTCCTGTGTTGTCTGCTTTTAAAAGCAATATTCTGAAATTAATTTGTGCCGTCTAACTCTGTATGTGGACAAATGAGAGCTGGCAAGGAAGGCAGCATTGTCAGTGCTAATCCCTCAGATGAATGCCAGAGGTCACAGGATCACTTGTGCAAGAGTCGGCAAACTCACATAATCTCTGTCTTTGCTTTTCTCTTTTCCTCTTGCTGTCGTGATCTCAGTCACTTGGCTCGTGCTGAAAGGTAGCTTCTTTTTCTACTGAATCCATCCATGTCTTTTCTGTTTGTTTTTAAAACTGGTATTCCTCTTGCCAGACAATAAATGCTGTAAATAAAAAAAGGATGATGAGAAGAACAATTCTCATGTGGGAATATGAGCAATAATACTCTGCTCATATAGTAACAGGGTTGTATATTATATAGAGATCCTCATGTCTCAGTTACTAAATATCTATGTATGTGTGTATGTATGCTTCTGAGGCTTATATAACACACTTCTTGTGTTTCTCAGAGCTGAGGGCCGACGATGGTCTCTGGCTTCCCTTCCTTCATCCGGCTATGGAACCAATCCGCCCAGCTCCACCGTCTCGGTAAGTTACCCACAGATTCACAGCAATGTCCTCGCCGGCTGATGCAAGGCAGCCAAACCGTTTTTTCACACTTCAGTCAGCCAAAGTAGCACATTTCGTTTGTGCAATGAGGGCCAGAAAATGCCAGGCCCAAGATGACAAACCGCTAATTGTTTATCTGCATCGTCTGCTTCAGTGAGTCACTCTCACAGTCTTTGAACGCCGGCATCAGAAGGAGAACACTCAGTCTGGATGGGGAACAAAAAAGGGCCTGTTTAAAGAAGAGGGTTTGTGACAGCTTTTCATGAAAACCCTATTATATATGTGACAATACCAGTTGATAGAAATGTTGTGCTTGGAACTGAAGACTTTTGACAATGTCAAAATGCCAAGTTCTGGTGAAAACTTTCGGTTAGCAAAGTTGATCATATAATCTGAGTAAATCCTTTTTATTAAGGTCATTTATTAGTCAGGGTCAGACAGTTTAGACCCAGATGCCTCTGAGGACAGATGATGTCTCCCTGCCCTATATGGACAGAAAAAAATGTCCCACTTCCTGCCCAGTCATCCTTTTCTTGTTATGATAATCTGTCCTTAAAACTTAACAGATTGGAGACATTTTACACCATTGTCTATTAAAGTTGGAGAAACTTTAGTCTTTCTTTCAGTAGAAGTAGTTACAGAGTTGGTTCAGGGCTTTTGAAGTAAATTATTTTACCAAGTTTGAAAAATTGCGTTGCCTTTGTTTATTTAGTGCTCGACATAAGGAGCTATATTTATTTTTCTGTTTGTCCTGAATCCCGGACTCACAATAAAAGGTATTCGTTCCTCATTTTTGAGTTCATAGTTCATCAGAAGTCCTCCACAGGCGCCCTGTGAGTGAAGCAGACAGGAAAGGAAGTCCAACCTGTCGGTTCATGTTTGATGTTTTCAGCATTATTAGCTCCGAGTCATGCCTCTGAGATGGCGAGACTAACAAGTAACAGCAGCCAAGAAGGAAACACTTTTTCATGACTCTCTGATGTTGACATAAATTTCTCCACAAACATCTTGTCGAAATGTTGGGCTTGAATCACAATTCCCCTCTTTGCACCGTGACTCACTCAGTGTGAAACAATCAGTTTCCTTTTGTGTTGTTTTTTCGTTGCACTTCCTTATCCCCGCTGATGTGTTTGGAGTCATAAATCAACCCCTTCTTTTTATTTAAATAATTACTGTTTAAAAAGTTTGCAATAGTTGCTTCTGGCATCAGCACCAGACGAACTACGTCTGTTCGCCTGGGGAAGACATTTGTGGAAGTAGAAGGTAAATAAAAGTGAAAGTAGGATCTTAATGATGATCTAATTTTGTTTTGGTGTGTAGTCATCCTCGTCCTCCCAGGAGCGTCTTCATCAGCTTCCCTACCAGCCGACACAAGATGAGCTTCATTTCCTCTTCAAGCACTTCCGCAGCACAGACAGCATAACTGATGAGGATGGGAGGCCCTCTCCGGTCATACGGCCTCGTTCAAGGAGCCTCAGGTAGACAATCCCTAAAAATATGAGGGACCTGCAGACATGATGCAGTGAATGAAATTACATTTTGATGGAGGAGATTTTTAGATCTGAATTGTGTCTTAAAAAAATAGATGAATCAGAGAAAAAAATGTTTCCTCTCCAGATTTTATATAATGTATTGTTCGACTTTAGCTATGTTATTAGATTAGATTAGATGAGCTTTATTGATCTCACAGCGGAGAAATTCACTGGTCACATATTGGCATATTAATAAAAGAAGGTGCAAACAAGGAGGAAAAGGTGTATTAGGAATAAAAATAAATAAAAAGAATAAAAATAAGAAATGAAAAAATATAAAAAATTACAAGGGAGTAACAGAGATTTAAGGTGACATATAACCAATCAGGATGGCTTATATACAGTCCATCGATTATTAAAAAATCGATCCGTCCTTCCAGTGATTTATTTTTTTTTTTTTTTGCATGGTCAGTCTTATAGAGAGAGCAATACATCACCTTGCCAATATTTTTGGCTGATATTAGTTTATTTTTTTATGTTCATACATGCATGCATTCACCAATTCATTAGTGCATTCAGAAGCCATGCCTTCTGATCATGTAGGGGAGCGCATTACTGTTCCCTTCATTCACTATCCTTTGTTCTAGTGTAACATTTATTATAATTATGTAATTTTTATCACATAAATGGAAGAAGGGAAAAAAATATCAGCTAAAAGAATCAGCTGCACATATTGGGGATCAATTAAACTGATTTCAAAATAGTCCTTAAAAAACCAAACTATCTGTTGTTTGGCCTCTGTAGAAATATCTGCGATAAAATGATAATATATTTTTGGTTATATTCTTCAGCACATATGAGTCTGGAGAATCTAGAAATATGTCATTAGAAAATGTGAGTTTTTTATTTTATTAATAAGAGACAAAGCTGTCCGTATATTGAAAGAAGTAAAGACAAAATGTAAAAAATCTTTAAGCAGATACCATCCAAGCATTCATCTGAGCAGAAGTGTAGCGACAGCAGCCCAGCTGAAGAAGTTAACATGATAGTTTTTAATCCCTTGATGTGATGCTGTTTTTATTTTGTTTTTCTGTTGGTGAAAATATGAGATTGATATTTTATGCAGATGGTAAACTGTAATCCCTCTGAAGCTGCAGAGATGTTGTGTGTGTTATGCAATGAAACCTCTGGGATTAGTTTCAGATAGAGCCTGCAGGTTTTAGACATGTTTGCAGACCGCCGGATGTCATGGTGACCTGAACAAACTCGTCTTTTAGCACCTCTTACCTCCCGATGTCGGCACGTTCGTGTTGGGAGGCAGGCAGGTGGGGATCTGACTGCAGAGCAGTGCCATCTTGACAACTTTTGTCTGTTGGCTCTGCTCTGCGCTGTTTGTGCTCTGCCTGAGTGCTCCATGTTCTGGCACCATGGTGTGCAGTACGTGGGCGGGCTAGCTAACAGAGCGCCTCCGGGATGAAGCTGTCGATCTGTATTTGAGGGTGGGTTGGTTTTTTTGGGAAAGGGGACGTGATCGGAGGCCTTGACAGCAACAAAGCTGTCTTTTTTTATGATTAGAAAATAAATAAATAAAAAGAAAACATAGATTAAAAAAAATGGCCAGGGGAGTCTGTGTGCATGTCATAAGTTTCCCCCCCATCTGTTCTGTTTAAAGCTCCTTCAAGCAAGTATATGCAGTTCCAATATGCTTATCTCATAGGCTTAAATGCTGAAGTGGTGTTGCAGTACATGACTAATTGATTGGTGTTGATGACTCACACAGTTTGGCAGAGAGGAGCCTCAGCTGCTGGAAAAGATATGTTTCATATAGAAACTTTGAAGCTTGTCGGCTCAATCCAGTTTGGGTGCAGCTTTTCCAGCTTAGCTGCTGTCAAATTGAAATCCCGGCTCAGCTTTTGACAGAACACAATCTGAGGCGGTTTTGTTGACCTAGTAAAAAAAGCCTTCTCTGTCACACCTGTAATAAGTTTTGTTTGTGTGTTTAGATGAGCTGAAGCTAACAGAAAGCTGGTGTGTTTAGAAAGGAACGACCTGACTGTAACATCAGGTTCAGTGGATACATGTCAGCAACAGACATTAAACGTACAGTGGAGGATTTTCGCGTATTTTAAAAAAAAACCCGCCCTCTCCACTTAGAAAAAATACACAACCCTGTACCCGCTTCCGAGAGGGAACGCCTAATAAACGCATGCGAGAGCATGCATGAGCCTGTTTCTCCTCGTGCACGCTCTGTTTAAAAGTTGCTGTTTGCATCGCTCATACAGGCTTACTTTCCAAAAGAAGATTTCCACTTTTTCGACTGTGTCAGACTCACTGCCGCTAAGTGAAAAGTGGGACAATCACGTAGGACTACTTTCGTAAACTTACGTAAATGATTGACAATTAGGAGGACCACTTATGGTCTGTACTTATATAGGGCTTTTTTTAAGTCAGGAGAAATGACCAAAGCACTTTACACTACATTCAGTCCCTCTGACCACCATCAGTGGACAATGCAGGTGAATCGTCTTATCCAAAGACACAACGACACTGAAATCCGGGGCTTGAACCGTCAGCTCTTCGATTTCAGGGCAAACTCCTGCACCCGACGCCACTGTCGCCCCTATTTTGATGATCCACCCAGAAAAAGAATATTCTCCACTTTACCTTTAAAACTGACTGAACTCTTCCTGTTGTATGTCGATTATGCTTACAGAACATTATTTACTATTATGAGGATTTTTATCACCTTTACTTTAGATGCTCAGGGAAATCCCAGATGATGTCAGGTGTTACAGTTACAGTCCACAACCTTTAATTAAACACAGACACACCTTTTGATGTTTTTTTTTTTATTTTTTTTTTTATGGCAGCACCTCAAAATCACTGCTTCCCTGAGGGAGATCAGGAAAAAAAAAAAAGCATTGATCTGTTAATAGATTTTCCAGATTTCTGAAGTGGGTAAGATAATCATTACCTACCGTAGAAAGGGTAGTGCTGACATGAGCCGACAGGCCGCTCAGAGGGAGACACCATAACTTTAAATGAAACAAAAGCCAGACGGCATCTTAGAGACGCACCCAGGACAAATAGCTTTCTTTCTTTTTTTCTGTTTCTTTTTTCTTTTGCCGACGCGTCCTGTTGTATGATAAAACTAGGTTTGAAGTGATTCACCGTAGCCACCTTTTAAAGGGAAAAACATCATTCCAATCATTTAGTGTGGCCATCATGTCGGTATTTAGCTGCATAAAATATAATAAGTAATGATTTCGAAATATTAAAGTGACATCTTAGAAAATACCAGTTAAATATTGTGAGAAATGTGCTCTGAATTTAAAATAAAATTCTTCCAAACACCTGAGAAAATGTTGAAGCTGAAAACAAGCAAAAAAATACAAAATAACCAAATTTAGTTTGATTAGATGAATATTAGAAAACAGTTATATATATATATATATATATAAACAGTATATGTAAATATCTTGGTCCAGCTGTATTGACTTTCCCCTTTAATCCATGTTCTGCTTCAGAGGACAATCTGATTTAATTATGTATTGATTTAAAAAGTAACAAAGTCGATCAATAGCCTATTATTAACTTTTTTCTTTGTTTTTCTTGTAGTCCTGGAAGATCAACGGTCTCCTTTGATAATGAGATAGTCATGATGAACCATGTTTACAGAGAGCGTTTCCCAAGGGTAAGTATTAAAAATACCAAACACACTTTGCTTCTGTTACACACATTCGCATCTAAACTTAGCTTGTTTAATCTGTATATAACAAAAAGCAACTCATTTAAACATCTTGTCCTTAGACTTTTTCTAACAGAGATGCTTGGTCCTAAGTGTCACAAGTCTGAACAGGTGTTAAAAAACTTGTTTAATGAATCACTGGTAAAGATTTTAGCCATATGAGTCCACCCACAGGAAAAAAAGGACATTTGCTACCATGAGAGAAAAAAAAATCAATTACTGGTCTGTTGATTTTTATTTATTTATTTTTTTAAATGTGTTCTTGTTTTCTTTTAAGGCCACGGCCCAGATGGAGGAGCGCTTGTTGGAGATTGTCACCCATTACTCTCCAGACAGCTCCCTCCCCTTGGCGGACGGCGTGCTGGGCTTCATCCAGCACCAGCTGGTGGAGCTGGTCAGAGACTGTCTGGACAAGTCTCAGAAAGGCCTGGTTACTTCCCGATATTTCGCCGAGCTGCAGGAGAAGCTGGAAAAGCTGTTGCATGAGGTGAGACAATAGTCAGCTGATTAAATGTCACTGCTGAGATTATGTCACATATTGTTCTGGTATAAAATAGACCTCGCTGATTTTTACCCTTCATATTTAGGCACTGATTAATGAGCTGAGGGTGAGCTTTCTAACTCGTGTTGAAGTTCTGGAGCAGATTGATTGGGCTTAAGCGAATTGTGCAGCGAGTCAGGTCACTCAATAACCATCTGATAGCCAAACGGACACACAGCAGATCTGCTAGCAGAAAATCTGTAAAACAGCTGGAGGTGTTTTAACTCTGGGCTTAGTGTCATGGAGAAAAACCTTTATCGCTTTGAGTTTAACACATGGAAATGATTTAAATCTAAGATATAGACCTTATATTACTGATTAAATGGTGACATAAATGGCATGGAAGTCAACTCTAATCCATCGATACACAAACATGTAAAAGCCTAGAATTTAAATCTAGTTTAGCTTCATTGTACTGACAATATCCCATTAACCAAAGCAGCTCCTTTGTTTTTCTGCCTGTTGCAGACAGAAGGCACGGCCATCTCGCTTTATATGCAGCTGAAATGATAAGTCTGTTCTTAAAGAGTGCTGCACATTTCCTTTCTACAAACATGGATTCATTTTCCTTTTTATTGTAGATAAAGATTAAGGAGAAAGGAATCACAGAAATCTAACACCGTGCCTGCACCATTAGAACAGAACCCCATGGGGCCATAGTTGCTAGACTGGTTTCAGAACTGCTGAAACCTTCCGTCATATAATATCCTTTTCTCCTTCTTTATGGAGCAAAGACTGGAGCTCTGCTTCCCTTACCAGAGGTCGCTGTGCACGGCCTTTCAACTGGTTCCTCTGACTGATGTTTCCAACATGGAGAGCCATGCTGTGGGAACTAAGAGAGTACTGACCCATTACTGTAACTAAGCTCATGCTGCCTCAGAAATACACTTAACAAGCCAGAATGCAGCAGCTTCTTTCTCTTCTAAAGAAACAATATTAGAACAGTGAACAGTATGCAGTTCAGTGGAATTAATTAAATTGCTTTAAATGGAGTCTGTTTGTTAAAAGCAGACTTTTTTATACATGTTGTTTTGTTTTAAATGTTAGTGTGAATGCTGTGTTGCCTGATAACACGATAGCATTTTTGACTCCAGGTTTTATAAACCTTCTCAATCCAACAGCAGCCCAGCTGGGGCAGAGTAACTAACTCTTTCCAAACTTTGGTTGCCTGTATCTTCTCCATAATTGTCCTCATTGGTACTTTTCAGTTAAATGAGCAATTTTGGTGATAACCTCAAAACTTTATTGCTTTATACATTTTGAATTGCCTGCTCTTGTAAAACCCATATTTTTCTTTTAAAGATTACATTTTTTTTTTAGATGAACTGGAAAAAAATCAAAATCTAGATAAGTCATTTTTTCTTAAAATAAGTGCATTTGTTCTTGAATTCAGGAGATAAAAGAGACATTTTGCCAATGGAACAAGATAATTTAGATTTAAAATTAGAAAACAGAATTCGATTGTCTTATTATAAGTGCATCTAATCTAATTATCTTATTGTAATAGTAAAAATACATTTACCTATTTAAATCAAAGGTAAATACACTTAACTTTAAGAATTTTTTTACTTATTTCTAGATTGTTTTTCCAGTGTGGGACTTAAAAAAGTCGCTCTTTCAGTGTTTCATAGTAAAGTAATCATTTCAATACACCTCCTTAGAGTAACAAGTTGAGAAAAACCAGATGAGTTATTTGTTATTTTATTTAAATTTTTTAGCTACCTTGTTTGTGACTGTCCCCTCTCTGCTCCACCCTTCTCTTTCCATCTCTTCTCTTTTTCTCAGGCCTTTGACCGCTCCGAAAGCGAGGAGGTAACCGTCATCACCCAGCTGGTGCGGAAGATCCTCATCATAATCTCTCGGCCGGCTCGTCTTCTTGAATGTCTGGTAAGTTGCAGAAGAGGATCATCTAATGTAAACTAAGATTATTTTGGTTTTAAAATGTCTGTTTTTAGATTGATCAATGCAGAACTGAGATATCCTGCCCTTGTATTTGTTACAACTTCCTTTCTATGTTTAATAAATCAGTAAAAAGTCTCAAGCCTTTGATTGAGGTTCTAATTAAGCTGCTAACTTTGACAGAAGTTTAGCCTCAGACTTTCCTCTTTGTTACTCCTGGATTCTGTTGACAGGAGTTTGACCCGGAGGAGTTTTATCACCTGCTGGAGGCAGCAGAGGGCCATGCCAAAGTGGGTCGGGGGATTAAGACAGACATCCCACGGTACATCATCAACCAGCTCGGTCTGACCCGAGACCTGCTGGAAGGTAAAGGAAAGCTAATTTATGGAATGTTGCTCACATAACGTCTAATATTTATGGATCCGTTTTAGTAGCTTGCTCTATAAGAAATTCAGAGATATTTTATTAAACACAGTGAGCGTAAAACTGGTCTTTCTACATATTCTATTATTTTGGTTCTAATAGCACATTTATGATCACTTATATCTAACTATACAAGGTTGATACATTCATGCTTACTCCATATGAAGAGGATGATCATACGCCTACATAAATTAGCATTTAAATGAGACATTGCCTAAATTCCCTAACACTTGAAGCTAATAAATTTGAGATGTAAAGACATGCTATGCCCATTTAGATAGATGTGTTGGTTTAAAAAACAAAATGGTGCTGATTTAATGAATAATTAGCTTAATTAGGTAAAAACACCTTGTCTCTTTTTAACGCATTTACTTAGCAACTGTATGCAGAGAAGAATTCATCCTTAGACTTCATCCATATGGAATAGAATACCTGATAATGGCCTGCAATGCCGTGCCGCATGAATTTACATGTTAATGTGCTTAATTTTATTGACGGGCTTAAAGCTCTGGGAGCATTTATGCTCTTATGTAATCAGGGTTGTGTTGAAGTAATGAAAGCCCTTTCCTTCCTGGAGAAAACATAATGCTTTTACAAGTGAGGTCACATCTTTGATTATCCTCTGGTTTAATTTTGGCCTTGAAGCTGTAGCTGTTTTGTTATTTTTCATCTATTCATTCCAGTTTGCTCTCTACAAACCTCTCTAAGAAAGTTTAGATGGGGTTTGCTTAGAGGTTTAGATGTGTAGAGCTGCACAGGATAGAAACTGAGATTATTTGTTGTGTTAACGATGGCTCTCTTATTCTGGTATGTGTAGACATGGTGCAGCTCGAACATGATGCCAGTCCTTTAGCTTCGGTGGAGCCAGAGGCTGCAGTAGAGGTAAGTCCTCAGTGTTTGGTACAAGCAGATGCATTGACTTTTCATTGAAAATAAACATCTTAATAACCTCTAAACAGACTTCTTTAAACGTGCTTCTTGATTTGATGGAGATTATATGAAATGCAATCAATTTTTAAGTCTCATAAGGTCACAACAAACTGATAAAATGTTTTTTTTTTCAGTTAGCAGTCATTAGCCTGGGCAGACTTGGTTGTTTATACAAACTTTTGCACACATTTCAACTGATTAATCATAAAATGGAGATAAATATCTTTCTATTATAACTATATTCTCATCTTACTACCGTTAAAATCTCAACTTGTCAAGCCAAAGACTCTTTTGTTTATAATGTGTTGTAGTATGTGGCACCGAGCTGTTATGTGCACGTTCTCAAAGGTCTCACATTTTTCCCACCACATCAAACCGATGCTTTTTTTTGGAATAAAATGTGAAGAATTTCAAGTCCAAACATCAAACTTCTAGCAGTTTTCCTCAAAAATTTAAAAAAGAATCACTTTTCAGAACCTTTCATGGTTTAGATAACATGAACAAGATAATTGCTTTAAAATCACTGGAGCTTTGCTTTTATTTATTATTTATTTATTTTTTTGACTGGTTTACCTTCTCACAACTTTTGAGCAACGCAGACTAAAGATATTTTATTGAAGTTAACTGTCAACATTAGGGACTAACAACTTTCTTAATGAACCAAAATGAAAAATCTATCTTTATATTTTCTTTTGCTGCAATAATTATTTTTATAAATATCTAACTTTGCACTTAAAGGCATTTCATAAATATAAAAACCTTAAAATAATTTTAATAAGATCCAAATTTTTCATGTTCATAAGTAACAAAAAGTGAACAATATGAAGAGAAACCCTTAAGGAATAATTATCTGCTTTTATTAACCAATTTATTAAAAAAATCTCATTATGAAGGCTGTAACTCTTCCCTGATCTTTATAAAGGACTATTTATACATTTTTAGAATTTTAATCTTTTAGATATCAGCATGCAGAAAATAGCTTTGATGTTAACAAGCTAACTATGCTGCACTCTATTTCTCTTACTTGCTGTGAGAAGTTCATAAAATTTAGTTTAATTTCCATCATTTGTTCAGAATAAAGCCCCCCAGACACTGACTCCAACCCGAAGGAAACCTCTAGAGAGTGATTTTGAGACCATCAAACTCATTAGTAATGGAGCTTATGGGTAAGAGCTTTGAGCTTTTCTTGCTTGGCCTAATAATTATTCTCCAAGTTATAAAAATTCACATAATCTTTATTTCATCTTGTTACAATATAGTAAGCTAAGCACTATTCTATGGGTTGTGTTCTGTTCAACCAGGGCGGTGTATTTGGTCCGCCACAAAGAGACACGGCAGCGGTTTGCCATGAAGAAGATCAACCGCCAGAACCTGGTGCTGAGGAACCAGATCCAGCAGGCGTTTGTGGAGCGGGATATCCTGACTTTTGCTGAGAACCCCTTCGTTGTCTCCATGTTCTGCTCTTTTGAGACACGCCGCCACCTCTGCATGGTCATGGAGTACGTAGAAGGTAAGTGAAATTTTGCAGTGAAAAACATTTGACTTAATCTGAACTGGGCTAATCTAACATTAGGACTGTAATGATACATCTTGGGGTCAAGCATCCAAATGGCACATCTTGTTTAAACAGCCTGTGATGTAAACTATCGGTTTTTATGATCTTCTGTTTTCTTAAGGTGGAGATTGTGCTAACCTGCTGAAGAATATGGGCCCTCTGCCTGTTGAAATGTCCAGAATGTACTTTGCTGAGACAGTTCTGGCACTGGAGTACCTTCACAACTATGGCATTGTACACCGTGATCTTAAACCTGACAAGTGAGAAACAACCTACCGTTGATTGTTGGGAAAATATTAGAAAGACAAACTGTTTAATTCTTCCACTCTTTATCATATATGATTAAAATTGGGAGTTATAATATTAAGATATTTGTTGTTTTTTTTCACCCTCCAGTTTGTTGATCACATCCATGGGTCACATTAAGCTGACCGACTTTGGCCTGTCCAAAATCGGCTTGATGAACATGACAACCAACCTGTATGAGGGTCACATAGAGAAAGATACAAGGGAATTCATTGATAAACAGGTGAAACTTATTGAAGGGGGACAAGCAAAAAACCGTTAAAGATTGAATGATATGATCCATTGCTGAACTGACCTCTGTGTTTCTGCAGGTGTGTGGCACTCCTGAGTACATCGCTCCAGAGGTGATTCTAAGACAGGGCTATGGAAAGCCAGTGGACTGGTGGGCCATGGGGATCATCCTGTATGAGTTCCTGGTTGGCTGTGTTCCTTTTTTTGGAGACACACCTGAAGAGCTTTTTGGGCAGGTCGTCAGTGGTGAGTGTTTATATTAACATGTATGAAGCACAAATACATGCATTACCACAGCAGTAATTACATGAATGTAGGAACCTGTCAGCAAACATTTCTTGTTCTCTTAGAGCTGGTGGCATTTAAGCTGGGAACTGGGAGTGCCTTGTTTATAACAGAAATAATTGGCTTCTACTCCAAAGATTTACTTATTATTTTCCAAATAAGAGAATTTAAGTTTAGCTGTTTAGTCACAAAAAATATTTTTACCCATAAATGTTAAAGATCATTTATACAGTGGATTCCATCTGTGATTTCATGCTTTTATTGCTTAGATGAAATCATTTGGCCAGAAGGAGACGACGCCTTACCTGCGGACGCCCAGGACCTGATCACTCGCCTACTGAGGCAGAGCCCTTTAGAACGACTGGGAACAGGTACTGAAAATAAAAATATTAGTTGATCCTATTTAAAAAGCTGTCAGAGAAACATAAGAGCTCTGATTTTTACCTAAGTTTGTAACTGGGTACTGTGTGCCTGTAGGTGGCGCCTCTGAGGTAAAACAGCACCCTTTCTTTGTGGGTTTGGACTGGAACGGACTCCTCAGACAGAAAGCAGAGTTCATTCCTCAGCTGGAAGCGGAAGACGACACCAGTTACTTTGACAGTAGGCTCCAGTTCTGTATAATATGTTGTTTTACTCCAACCTCTAACATTTAACACACATACAGTGCAATCCTACAATATTTTCCTCTTTTAAAGAACGAATGAAAGCATCATTTAGTTATTAAGAGCAAAATCTATATATTTTTTAACATTTTAATCTGTCAAACACGCATCTTTCAACTACATTAAATGTCTTTGCCTCAATTTAGACACATTTTGCTTCACTTTTTTATCTTTTGAAGATAATGATTCTAATAAAAGACAGCTAAAAAAAAATCAGTATCACCTCCCGCTTCAAACCTCCACACTAAATGTTAACCGGTGTAAGATCAGTGAACATGTGACATTTGAAGGCAAAGAATAAAAATGTTTGGCTTTTTAAAAAAGTAATGATGGCAGAAACCAGCCATTTATTTGCTGTTTAGAGTAAATAAATGTTTAGATTAAATAAAAGCAGTTTAGCATTTCTGATGTTTTCTGGTTGCAGTTTCTGCTTCGGGTGATTTTTAGTTTCTTCTCCATTTTTTTTTTTTTTCTCCATAAAGCTCGTTCTGATCGCTACCATCATTTGGCATCTGATGAAGATGAGGAAACAAATGATGAAGAGTCATCTTTAGAAATCAGGCAGTTTTCTTCCTGGTCGCATCGCTTTAGCAAGGTAAGCGCTGCTAAGTTCCACTTCATAGCAGCACTAGAAGGGAAAGCAATGCTGAATGTCCAGAACTGCTAATCGGTGTACAGCAGCTTCTGGTTTAACACTGTCTCTGTTGTTTCTCTGTGGAGGTTTACAGCAGCACAGAACATCTAGCAACACCGTCCAACCTCAGCTTCTCTTCAGACCGCAGCCACAGTGAAGAGAAGGAAGACCGCGGTGATATTGGAAGTCTGAATTTGTCTCTGAGTCCAGCAGATGGCTGTTTGGAGAACAGACACTCTGCACGCATGGCCAGGTAAAAACTGCTGGAAATATCCCAGCTGCAGATAAATCATCTTGATTTAAGCAGAGATCTGTGTGAAAAAGGGTGAAAGTTGATTCCTTCATTAAGTAGCTGTTGGGCTTTTTGTAGCCTTCGCCCGCGGGCCTCCTCCAGCTCCTCACAGTCTGAAAGGAGCGCCAGTCCACTGGTGATGAGCAGCACCCACAGCCTGGAAACGATGCCCCGCTTCGCCCTCTCCACCGATGATGAAGGTAGTCCCTGACTTCACACAGTCGATGCTTCATTACCAGTGGAAATGGTATTTACCTTCTGCACCGTGCCATCTGCAGCTGAAGTGGTGGTGTCAAACCTCAGGAGGATCAGGATTCGCAGCAACAGCACCGGGGCAAAACACTCATCCCCCAAGGACCCAGCAGGGCCTCGACGCTTCGGTAACCAGCTGGAGACACCGGACAGACAGAGGCCTCCCTGCGGAGGAAAGGTTCCAAAGTCTGCATCCGTCTCAGCCCTGTCCCTCATCATCACTGCAGGTAGACGGCAGTTCAGCTAAACATCAGCTGCTGCCTGGGATTTTAATCCTAGGAAAACACAAAGCTTAAAAACAAATGCTTAGATCACTAGAATATGGTTTAGACCTTTGAATAATAAAATAGAGATGAACTCTGTGTGGTGTTTGTTTCAGATGACTCGCCGAGCGGCCTCCAGCCCAGTCCCATTTCACCACGTTCACTGTCTTCCAACCCGTCGTCTCGTGACTCGTCTCCTAACAGGGACTTCTCCTTCAGCCCAGGCAGCTTAAAGCCTCCCATCATCTTCCACACCTCAGGAAAGAAGTACGGCTTCACTGTGCAAGCCATCCGAGTCTACATGGGCGACAGCGACGTCTACACCGTCCATCATATGGTGTCGGTGGGTGCTTTTGTTTTCTTTTTTTCTGATCTCAATTTAAAGTATTATGAAGAGGTGATTATGTAATGCTAAATTGAAACTCCTCTGCTGGTCGTTTGAAAAGAGTGTGGAGGAGGGGAGCCCGGCTCACCAGGCAGGCCTCCGCACTGGAGACCTCATCACCCACGTGAATGGAGAGTCCGTACAGGGCCTGGTCCACCCAGAGCTGATAGAGCTGCTGCTGAAGGTACAGTAACCTTGATGTTTGCTTGACGTTCACTTAAGCTAACTGTTGCTTAAAAGGCTTTTATTCTTGTGAAATGAGCAGAGCGGAAACAAGGTGGCTCTGCAGACCATAGCTCTGGAGAACACCTCAATCAAAGTGGGTCCAGCCCGGAAGACCAAACACAAAGGGAAGATGGCCAGACGCAGCAAGAAGAGCAGAAAAAGGGATAACTATGACAGGTGCTTTTCTAAGATGCTTATGTCTCCCTCTAGTGTTAGACTGATAGTGAAGTTTATTCTCATGCTAAATGTTTGCAAGGGGAAAAAATATTGCTTACCGATTCTTTTAAACACATTTCTGTGTTTTCTAATCCTGTTTTTTTATTTTTATTTTTTTAAGGCGACGGACCATCTTAAAGAAACTGTCCAAGCAGAGCACGGTGATGCACAGCCGCAGCTTCTCCTCAGGTCTTCATCACTCTGTGTCCTCCAGCGAGAGCCTCCCTGGCTCCCCGACACACAGCTTGTCCCCTGGTCCCTCTACGCCCTCCAGGAGCCCCGCACCAGATCATCAGGGCTGTGGTGAGTTCCTCATTTAGAATTTCAGGCTCTAATGGATGCATTATAGTTTTTTTCTCAGTGGTTATTCCTTTAATGTTCTTCGCTGTTTTGATCTCTGTCTTCTGTCTCTGCCACTCAGACAACAACTCTCCTCAGAGCACATCACCTTGCTCCAGTTCTCCCAGTTCTCCCGCTACACACATCAGACCCAATTCTCTGCACGGTCTCGGCTCCAAGCTCAGCACTCAAAGAATCACCAAAGTGGGCCGTCGGAAGTCGACCAGTAATATCCCACCATCTCCTCTGGCCTGCAACTCTTCCTCATCCTCCAACCAGCCTCTGTCGCCGCAGCGCTCTCCGTCCCCTCTGCCAGGCTTTGCCAAAAATCTCCACACGTATCACGGTAAAACCTTATCGCCGCCCACCATCGTCAGGCACATCGTGCGGCCCCGCAGCGCAGAGCCCCCTCGATCTCCATTGCTGAAGAGGGTGCAGTCAGCTGAGAAGCTATCTGGTGTTTACCTCAGTGATAAAAAGTCATACGCCCCCCGCAGGCATACATTGGAGGTGCCGTTTTATTGCGAGGGTGACTTTCTGGCAGACTCTGAGGTAGAGGGTGGGAGCTTTTACATCGGTGCAGACCACAGCAGGCTGGGAGGTTACATGAGCAACCAAAGGTTGAGGGACTCTGGCAGCGAACGGTCGGAGCAGCTGGTGGTGATGCGGAAGCTCAACCTATCAGAGCGACGGGACTCTTTCAAAAAGCAGGAGGCGGTACAGGAGGTAAGCTTCGACGAACCGGAGGAGAAAAGCAGCAGCTGCTCGATGGCGGGAACCGCCACAGCTCCAGGACTCCAAACGAGGCCCCTGCAGCAACAGAACAGGACAGGCTGGACGGGGAGTCGGCCACAGAGCAGAGAGGAGCTGGAGACGGAGGCGCCCGTCGTAAGGAGGTTCACCCTCGTTCCTCAGATCGCTGTGCAAGGGTCGACGGAGAGCGAGGAGCAGGACGAGTGGGAGCCCTGCTCAGATGGAGAGGAAGGAAACGAAGACCCCGAGCCGGACGTGTCTTCATCCCAGCTGCAACAAACAGAGCGTCCCGCTTCTGATCAGCACCAGGCAGCAGGAACAGCTCCGGCGGCTCATCAGAGCGCAGAGAGGAGCGAGGAAGCCCAGCAAACACAACCACCCAGGAAGTGACACTTTGAGGGGAAACTTCAAATGAAGCTGAGATGTTTCCACTCAGACCCAATGAACTACACTCATGTGAGGAGCTCCTACTTGAATTTTGTATTGTAAGAAAGTAAATGTGCAAACTTTCTCATCATATTTATTTGTTACCAAAAGAGGATGAGGGAAAGGTTCTCATTGTATGAATAGCCAAGGTTAAAGCTTTTTGTATCCATAGAAATGTGCTTTTATGTCCTCTGGATGGATTTTAATTTCTAAAAATGTCTATTTTTAATGAAATTTGAATGATTGTAGGACCAAAAGGAGTTTGAAGTCTTCATAGAAATCATGATTCTTTTCTTTTTTCCTTTCCTTCCCCGAATGTCTAAAAAGGGCAGCTTTAGTTGCACTGATGATGATTATGAGAGAATTTTTAGTTCAATTCATAAGAACTGGATTAATCAGTGATTATTTCTGCAGGTTTGTTTCCAGCTGCTCCTTGGACATTGTTGCTTTGCATTTGTCTTTGTTTTGTTTTTTTTGTTGTTTGATTATTCTTGTTTCTTGCTAAGCACTGAAACAAGTTTGATCAACATTATACAAATCTGATCAACGGTATCTCTTTGAAGTGCAATCCTTTACAAAGATTAAGTCCAATCATGGCTGCTCCAACTAACAGATCTACATGCAGCCGTTTTTAAGTCACTTCTTCTTTATTCGACCCCACCCTTTAAATTAGACAGTCATGAAATCCTTTATAATGCTAGTTTTTAAAATGCGCCAAACAAGGAAAGATTTAAAGGAAGCAGCTTTCCTTTTTTTTTTTATTTGAATCCTCATCATATGCATATTAAATCTATTTCCTTAGCTGTTATAGTTACTTTTCTGCGATTTTCTGAAAGAGAGAGAGACCAAGCATCATTGACCTGTTCTACGCTTCTATTCAGTCATGTTTACATCAGAAGAGGGAAAATGCACTATTTTGACGTACTTTTTGTAACTAAATGTGAAAGGCCCCCCCCCCGGAAATAAGTAGAGGGGTGTGTTTTCAGTGAGTCCAAGCCCCGGGGTTCTTTCAACTAAAAACCGTTTTGTGTCTTTGTTTTGTACAAATATTGATGTATATTTTGATATTGAAGCTTTTGTGTGTCTGATGATTCGGATGAGGAAATAAAAGTATGCACAGTGACAATGACAAGTAGTGGAACCCGGATCTTGAGGGTTTTTGTTCAGTTTTCTTGCAAACTTGTCTGTTTGGTTTTTGACCCATATTTGTTGTATTTGGAGTTTTTCAGGTTGTCCTTTCTTTTTTTCAGCAGCTCTGGTTTGTACTGACTTGTCCTCTGTTTGTTGTTGATGTGTCAATCCAATCTAATGAAAAGCGAACCTATTGCTGTTGTTGCTGAAGTGGAGCGGTCCCTTAATGGCTCGGTTATTTCTGCTGTCCGACCTAGTTTATAACAGCAACAACGAAAAAACATGCAATGTACTGTATTTGATGAGACGCTCCTCTTTGATACCATGAAAGGAAAATCACACCAGTTGCATATCTGTTTTTTCTATTTGTTTCTACGGAGTGATTTGGTACCAAACCTTTTCTATGTTTACATCTGCATAAGTAGAAAGATCATCCTTGTTTTTTGCTGCCTCTTTTCAGAAAGTTCTCTTAAAAAGCACAGCAAATTAGGTAAGTGGTTATGGGAGATGTATTTCACACCACTAAGTTGTGACAACATAAGCAAGCACCAAACAGGAAAAGTCATTTTTTCATTTTAAAGGATGGTGTAGAAAAATGATTTAAATTATTGAAAACAAGTCTGGAACTTTAAACTATCTTCAGCAAAGATCTCTTCACATGTTTGCTGTGTATTATCACTGTGCTGTTCTCCTATTGAGGGTTTAATGCAGCTGCTTTTTAAAGTACTATCAATGAACAAACCGGCAGGTTTAATAAGCTGTTGTACATGTGCACGTGTTCTCCTGTGGACTCTTCTGTTCAGTGCATGCTGCATGAGACAAGCACACAGCTGTAAAACTTGACTGCATGGTATACCGGCGTCTTTGCCCTGTACTGTGTTTTCTTGTGCAAAGAATAAACTTTGTATTTCTCTTTGCTTTCTGGAAATCATTGATGTTTAAATGCAAAATGAGAAACTGGATTGAAGTTAGGGTTAAAGTTAGACCTTCTTGATGTTGCTTACACAGATGTTTAATGTGTGAAACTGCTTAAAAGAAAAAGAGTAAGAAATAGAGGAAGTTGGTACATTTGAACTTTGCAGACTTTTCTTTGCTGATGTTTATTCAGGCAAACAAGAAACAGACTATAATTGGGAACTGCTGCTCAAATAAAACAAAATTATCAGAAAAATGCTTCAGTGAATCCAAGGCATTCATTCAATTTAACACTTTTACCTGTCCACCCATCACCTCTTCATTGGCTCAGCTCCACATCTGCTTTAGCTAATCATTGTTCAGGACTTTGCAGTTAATCCAAGGACTATTTCTGCCTTCCTACTAAAATGAAATGGCCTCCTATGTACAGCTCCAATACTTCTTGAACTTCAGCAGCTCATTTGTTTCCTGTCTTTCATTCCTGGACAAGCCGATTAATCCAGGTGTGTCTGTCTTTTTCTTCCTGCCCTCTTCTGACTTCTGTCTGATTTACTTTTCTAAGATGTTTCTCTCTTCAACTTTTCTTTTCATCAGTGTTCCCATTTTCCTCCTCTCATTCAATCTTAGTCAGTCTCCCTATCTTCTTCTCTCCTCTTCTATCACCCTTATACTTTTCTAAAACAGAGACATAATAAAAATCACAATCCCTTCCAAAAACATTAGAATGCAACATGTTCAATTGAGTAGTCAAATTTAAGTAATTTTTTTTATTCTGGAAGTCGGTTATTTTTAGATGAGATACTGGGGGTTATTCTAGAACAAGGGCAAAGTTTAAAGTACATGTTCTATACAAAATTCTATAAAATCGTAAACAAATATAATTCCTCAGGAGTGTAGTTCTCCTTTATTTGTCTTAAAAAGACCCCTTGCACGAATGCAAGGTAAGTGATTCCTTTTTTCTTGCCATAAATGTAAATCCAGCAGTTCTGGCCTGTGGCCGCTAGGTGTCACTAATGTACGAGACTTCTTCTGTAACACCACAGAAGAAGTCCCGTGTCCTTCACAACAGCTAACATGGCTACCGCTACTAAAATCGTTCAGAGGCTTCGAAATTTCTTGGCGGGGGTAAGTCATTAAGTGTCTATTGGGAAATAAAAAAATAAAGCTCTACTTTCTGGGACTTTGGCTTAAACGCTGTTCTGGTGATGGTGAACCCGGAAGGTTAGCTCACCTAAGCAGCAGACCTGCTAGCTAACGTTGATAATGTAAACTGTAGCTTTAACTATGATGCAGATTCGATGTAAATAAAAATGTTATTTTTCGTTTTTTATTTTCCAGCGTGATCTGCAAGCCAAGCTGCAGCTGCGTTATGAGGAGATAGCAAAGAGGTAA